CGGCTAACAATACGAAGAACTAAATTGTGGCGCAATGCTACAAGTTCTTCAAATACCTATAGAAAGATAGGTTTCTTTTTTGTGAGTGTAAAACATTTAAATACACCATTTGGATTTTTGATACCTCACTACTATAAAGACTTGGTTTGGTTTGCTGTTTCATTGGTAGTAGTGTCCAGGGTCACTGATGAGGAGTGGAATTTTCTGAAACTAGTCTGGCTCACAGACACACCCCAGTAAAAGAATAGACCATTCCAAGTTTTTACTTGTTGTTAAACACATGTTTAAACAACTCTATTCAATTTTTCTAAACTGTTTATGTGCCAACTTGCTAGCAGATCCAAGACTGTTTGTTTAAGGGGCCTTAACAATATTTGGGTTACACGAGAAAATGTAAAATAAAAGTATACCATTAATAAATACTTCTGGGATACTTATGCACCCTTATTTATATTATATAAAAAAAAAATAAGGATTTCACATAATATTCTTGCTTTACTCATTTCTTTACATTGAGCGTTGTGGTAAACAAAAACACAAAATTACTCAATATGATACAGTATATGCACCACACCTGTGGTAAGCAGTATAAAAAAGTGAATTTAAGGGATAGGAAAAATCTGATAAAATTTTGATCAGCTGTATTATATAGCTGGGTTTCTTTCTTGTTAGATGTCAAAGCACACAACTCCAATGTACAGACCACCAGAAATTCTCGATACTTATAATAATTATCCCATCAATCAAGCTATGGATATTTGGGTGAGTTGTTTTTTTTTATTTTTACTTTGAATTATGAGTAGTTCAAGATTAAATGGAAGTGATGAGTATTTTATCTTATCTTTCTCAGTAGATTGTTACTATTTATAGACTTCAACTCAATTATGAAAAAGCCTGATGAACATGCCTGTAATGGCAAGTATCAATAAAAATTTTAATTTAAAGCCAAAATATTAATGTTTACTATTTCATATCCTTAACAGTTAAACAATGAAACCAATAGTTCTAATATTACTGATAAAAAGCATACTAAACTGTATATCTTTGTTCCACATTCCTCCTAATTAATTCATTACAGATTTCAAATCAGAAGCATGTAAAAATCTTTTGCTCTGCCTTGCCGGCTTGTGCCACTTAAAACTGTAACATTAAATGTTTTTCTACTGAACATTTTACTAAACATTTTGCATAGTCTTTTTTTATCATCATGTTTAATGTAGCTGATAAGTTCTGATATTGAAAAAAAGGCCTCCAGAACAGTGACTTATGAGCTTTCAATGTTATAAAATATTTTAAAGCAAATATAGCATTATACACAACTAATGACAGTGAGTTTCGTTTTATTTACTATATGAATTAGCAGATTTTTATATAAATAAAAAACAATTTGTTCATTCTTTTGTATAAAGTAAGTCATCTGTATGAGCTAAGTGTACTGTAACAACACATGACTGGTGTCAGACATCACAGTTACTAGAATTGAGTGATTTACTTGAAGAAAAGTTGATATAATCAATAATCTATCAGCTTTAATCATGTCAGTTAGTGTCATGTAAAACTCGATTAAGTGAAATTATGATTAAATTAATTAATGTCAAGAAAGTTTTGAACTAATTGATATTAGTATTTCCAATTATTAGTTTTCATCTATTTCAACTATCTAAGTAATTGAAATATTGCCTTTATGATTTCTCATTATTATTAATTCAAGGTTGGTAAGCGTAATCATTTTGTATCATAACTCATGAAAATAATAAACTAATCAAAGTTAGTGTTTCTGTTAGTTGTTTTTTATTATTCCAACTGTCCGAAACTGATGTGAATATAATTGATTTGTTAAAATATCAGTTAATGAGCCTGATGATTAACTGATTAGCAAATTCCATTAGTCACCCATGTGTAACAGTGACATGTATTACGAAAAAGTTTGGTCCTTGTAGTTTAGAATCATATTAGCTCAAACCTTTTGTATTGTATAATTTATAAGCTTGTAATGGTAGAAGTGTTCTTGATGATGCCTCAGGAAGGTTTGAAGATATTTCTTTGTTGTACACAGGCCTTGGGATGTGTATTGTTTTTACTAGCTTTTCGAGTGCATCCTTTCGAAGATTCTGCAAAACTGCGCATCATTAATGGAAAGTACACCATTCCACAAAATGATGCAGAGTTTGAAGTGCTTCATGACCTGATATGTAAGTGTCTAAGACTATGTTGTAAGACTATGTTCTATGAGTCTCAAAAACTTGAATATTTTCAGTATTATTAAAATCTTAGTCTACCAATATTTATCATAAATTTGGAACTATTACTTTAAAGAAAAGACTTCTTGACACTTACAGTTTGTTATGTTTGTTATTTATGCATTTTTTGCTACATTTTAATGCAGATTTTGACAAAATATGTAAGAGTGCTGTTGATCAACATCGCATCTAGCATGGGGAATATGAAAACATTGTCTCCCACTCTGTGATTTAAACACACAAAAAAGAATTTAACACACTAATATTAGCAGATGCGATGTTGATCAACAGCATCCTTACATATTATTCTAAAGTTCTGTGTACAGCGCTAATATTAGTGCGTTAAATTCTTTTTAGTGTGTTTAAATCACAGAGTGGGAGACAATGTTTTCATATTCCCCGTGCTAGATGTGATGTTGACCAATAGCACCCTTACATATTGTTCTAAAATTCTGTGTACAGTAGCACGGGGAATATGAAAACAATGTCTCCCAATCTGCGATTTAAACACACACAAAAGAATTTAACACACTAATATTAGCACTGTACACAGTATTTTAGAACAATATGTAATTTAATATTCATTTAATATTTAGATGCAACTATGGTTGCTTGAATTATACTTTTCATTGCCTGAAAATAACACTTTTTGCTAGAAAATTTGATTTTTTTGTGGTCATTGTGATCGAATCAGGAGTTTGACAGGTGATGTCACTCAATTTTCCAGGAATTATTGAAAATGTATAATTCTGTGATTATTTTTCTAAAATATTATAATATACTTAGCTTTTTTCATATATATGCAATATTTCAAAATACAAACTGTGATAAAAAGTTTTACTCCTGACACTTTATTTTATGGGGAGATGAGTGATAAATCCAAGTGCTTATTGTTCCTGCATGTAACATTTCAAAGTAAATTGTGAGTGAGAACATACTGGGATGTCTAAGGTACAAACATTTGGCTTCATTTGATATTGCCTGGCTCTAATATAATAGTCTAATATGCATATTAAGTGCAAGCATTTTTTAAAATCTAATCTGATTACTCCTGTATAATATTTTGTAGTGCAGTTAATGTGCATGAACAACACTACATCATCTGATATTTCTTGTTTCTTTATGTAATAATGAAAATGCGTAGTGACTCAAGCATTTTTCAACTTCTAAAATTATCCCATTTTCCATGTGACTTTTCAGATGGAATGTTGCAGGTCAATCCTGTAGACAGACCTAATATTGACATTGTAGTCGAACGTCTTCTAGAAATTGCAGAAGCCAGGCAAATAAACCTTCAAGAGACCCTAAGGCTAGGACAACCCATAGGAGGAAGCAACCCTGCTAGTCCAGGTTAGAAAACATGATACTTTTTGTAATTTTTCAGTATCTTGTTCAAAAATTTAAAAAATTGTTAGAAGTTCATTAGACATTAACCATTTCCAGCCCAGTATCTCGTGATTTTATAGAGGCAAAATGACACCAAGTTTTGAAAAATTCTATCTGATCACTCCTCTCAGATTATCTCCGAAATAAAATTTTAATGAAATGTTGAGATTTCATATTTTCTTTTTATGCATGATTTATTAACATTTGTTTTAGATGAAGTAACTTAAGAAATCCAAACTCTTAACCCTAGTTTTGGATAAAGTAACTTAAAAAATCCAAACTGTTAACCCTAGTTTTGGATGAAGTAATTTACAAATTCCAAACTGTTAACCCTAGTTTTTAAATTTTCGCCCTCCTGTTATAGTGTTTATTGAGATGGTGGAAATCATTAAATTTGGCACATATGTAGATACAGTTTGTCCATTTTTGTAGAAGTTTGTTGCTTATTTTTATCTCAAATAGTTTGAAAGCAGTAAAGTTTTGAAGCTTATGACATAAAATCTGACTTTCTGCATGTTTTTTTTACAACTTCCATGTTTTTGAAGCTAATAAAATCACAGCTAAAACCTATGATTGTTTTTTTATTGCAATCTATAAGGCCATAAACTTCTTTCATAGATTTTAAATCTTTGAAATTTGACTTAGTACGTCTTGAGGCTATGCAGTGCTCGTGTTTTGAAATAATGTAAGTTACTAATGGTCTGTATTGTTTGTATGCCATGGGAAAGGCATATTCTTCAAAGTAATTGCTTTGAAAATTACTTTACAACATGCATAAACCTGCTTTGAAATTTAATCTTGCCTTGACATCATTAGGCCTAAATAGTATTGTTGCCTAATAAGCATGTGTAGAAAATGGCTTTTAGACCAATTAATATTTATATCTTTAAAGGTTCTATGATTATCATGCTGTATTTAAAGTATGTTTTAGATTTAGTGATTTTTTGAGTTATTAACTTTTATTAGTGCAAGATCAGAGATGATCAATTTGATGCTACTGGGTTGGAAAAGGTTAATTGTGTTTTAAATGTTCAATATATACACAGTTATCAATTTAAATACATTAATAAGAAATAGGATTTTGTCAGACAAAGGAATGACAAAGAAAAGTACATTTGGTTATTTGTGCTTCCTCCAGGCTTCAAAGTTTGAGGGTGAAGGGACCTTTTATTTTAAAGTTTCAAGTGTCCAAAAAAACGTTGAGGGTCCATGTGCCAAGCACTGAGGAACCCTCATGATATATTTTCCCCCCAAAATGACTTACACTTTTAATTTTAATTTTTTTACATTAGAATAAGGTTAAAGTTTTTTTTTTATCTTTCATAAAACTGAATAGTCTACATACTGAGTTTCACAGTATTGTGCCCTTTGGTTTCTTGAATACACTTGTCTGAATGATGGAATGACTTTAGAAACACCCAGTACATCATCATATCCTATGTTTAAATTAGAAATTTCACAAAATGTAAGATCGTATATACATATAAGGAAACAAACTTAAGGGCATTTGATCTCAGAACAGTACAAAATAAAATATATAAACTTAAATTAACTTTTATTTCTTACTTCAAATGCTCTTGAGAGTTATACCATAAAACTTAAGAACTCGAATGATACACAGACTTAACCTTTATAATGAAACCAACTTTGGTTCATTTTCTTTTTAACAATCTCTACATGTAGTTTTAGTGAATAGGTGTTACATTGAGTTTTGTGATAGTAAATTTGATTGCAATTCTGAATATTTGATATTTGGGAGCAAAGTGTGTGTGGGAGCCTGACTTATTTATTGTGATGTCATGTGTATACTATATCCCACAGAGAAAAAAAAAGTGGAAATGCACTCCCCCCCCCCCATAATTATACGTGTGCTGAAAATGCTCGAAAGGTCACAGATTATAAATTCTCTTTTTAGTTCATTACATGTCATGCAATATTTTAATAAATGTTTTGAAGATAGATTTGTAACTCCAGTGGAACTGCTTTTTTTTAAGTATACCCCCCCTTTTTTTAGTTTGGTGGTAACAGACATAAGAGAAAATGGTATGAAAATTGTTATAAAGAAATTTAATACAAGATTTGATCACTAATACGTAAACTGTAGAGGACAGTAAAAACAAAAAGCACCAAATACAATTCCTTATCTTATTTATACTGGGAACTGTGGTGTCTGTACGAACGTTTGTCTGTCTCCCGTTTATGTTGAATGCTACCAGCACTGCATTTGAAAAGATGCACACATAGGCAAAGCTCAACATTCACTTTTGAAATGACGGGAGAACAGACATGAATAATGTTGATGCCAAGTTTTATTTCACAAGATGGAAATTCTACACTAAATTATTAGGGATTAATCACACTATCATTCACATTTCAAAATGTGACGTAACTTAAACAATAAAAATGTAGATTTACTGTATAATATTGTTAAGCAGCTGTTAGCATGACTGAAATGCTCAACAATTACTTTTCGAGGTGGGCAGTATAAGTGGCTCAAAGCTTTGACTCTGAGTGAAACCAAGAGTGTAACAGAATTAACCTTTTAAAGTCCATGAAATAATATAAATTAATAGATTAACTTAAACTTTTCCCATCACTGGGTCAGGTACTTTTGCTTGTAAGGCTAAAGTCTGAATACAGATTGCTTTTCCACTATTGATGCTTGGGTTGCTATGTTTCATATTTTTACTCTGTAGATGCCAAATCCAAAACTGGTAAAAAATAAAAATTCATTTAAGCTTTTAGATTTATTAGTTGTGTGTACATTTTTTTAAGTTTGTTTTATTTTTCCATGTGAGATATGAAGTTAAGATCTAGCCTTATCAACATTTTTAAACAGCCCATGTTGGTCAACTTAGTGATCGTAACAACACACCAGCTCCTCCGCCTCATCTTAATCATGGTCCCTCCCAAAATTCCAGCCAGACAGCAAGTAGTGGACTTTTTACTTCTATACGAGGAGGTGCTGGAAACTTATTGAAGAACTTCATGCAAACTGTCCAACAGTAAGTCAGTGGTTTATACATATTTGTAACACAAGTGTACCTCTTGACCCATGTTTTAATGAACCTATTGAAATTCCTTTTATTGTTTGTTCAGCATCTCTTCAATGCCCTGTATATTATATTCAAGACTCGCATGTTGAACTGTCTATAATTCATCTTTCTGATCCACACATAATATTGTATTGCTTCTGGGGACATTGCAGACTGCTAAGGTTGGGGCTAATTATAGACTAATTGGGTCGTACGATAATACCTCAATTACAAACAAATATGTCTATAATAAGTGGTAGCAAACATAGCCTATTTATTTCTAACTTTGCTATGAACGTCAGTGCTCACTATCACAGTAAAATTGATAATCATTGTTTAGAAGTGTCAAAAAATCCTGTGAAGCTGTCCTGCCATGTCTCGGGTAACCTTCTTTCATCGTCATCACCAAAGCATCTTTCAAGTTTTCTGCTATGGTGAAAAAAGTTGGGAAATTCGTGGACTACGTGACATTTGTCAGTTACTAGTATTGATTGATTAGAGAGGAGGTATTAATTAGGGGCAATAGGATGATTGTATTAGACATGGGGCTGCATTTTTGTTTTATCACTAATCAGTCTTGCAGCAACAGTGAAAAAAGAAGATTCTGTTGAAATGATAGTTTGTATGTGAGTTTTACATTTACAGATACTCTTCTATATAGAATATGTTGTACTATTTTATAATTTTATCCTTAGTTTTAGTTCTCTGTTCTGTATGTCCCACACTGTTTGTTTCTGGTCTCTCTGTGTTAGAATATATACAGGACTGGGCAAAAGATACTACATTTGTTTCATTTTTAATCTAACTATTACCCTGAAACAAACAATAATTAAACTGCTTTCAGTTATTGTTGCAATATTTTCTTTAGTATCAAACTGTATAGTAATTTTTAGCCCATCTGATGTACATAGACATTTAGTGTGTTTGTAGATGTATATCTTATTTTGTTATTATCTTTGTGAGTGGTTAAGTATAGCATAGAAAGAGTGTAAGAACTGTGTGTGTGTATGTTTATTAAGTATCTACTTTCCTTTTTTTTTTTGTGTGTGTGGGTAGAAACTAAACTGTAGTTGTGAGTTGTGGTTCAGTTTCTTTACTCCAAGTATTTAACACTGCTAGATTTTCAGTAAGTTAATGAACTGATTTCTAAAATGTATGCAAAAAAAATCACAGAGATACCACACTTACATGTCACTTGGTGACAAGAAAAGTAAAAAAAAACATTTGTCACTCTAACTAATTACAGACAGCATTCATAATTTTGAAATGTGACCAAACACATTGTTTGTCATACTTTTTTCTGTCTCATACTCATTGTAATCTGATATTTAATGCTATGAAAAAAAAGTAGCTGGGTATTTAATTTTAAAATTACTTTTTTGATTCAGTTTCTTAAATTTTACCATGAATAAATCTTGTACAAAATGCAAACAAAAAGCCTTAAAAAGTTTATATATGTGTGTGTAAGTAAAGATAAAGAAAGTGAGGGAATGTGAATAAGATTAACACATTCTGAAGCACTTGTATAGCATTGTTCCGGAGATTGTAGCGTGAAGAATAGAAATTAGTTTTTAATAACTTACATTAGAATTTAAGTTCTTTATTGCTGTTTCATATTTAGTTTTTTTATTATTATATCAATATTACAGAAAGCAGTAAAAATATGACTAAAGAAAGTGACTTTATTAGTGTTTATAATACTTTTTTATTTAGTTTCTTAGAAATTTATTACATCATTAAATTTTACTTTCCTGTTCCTAATTCAGTAATAACTGCCCACATTAGCTTTTAAAATGTGTCTGTCTTCATCTTTCAGAACTATAACAAAGACAGATTTGGACTTTAGCTATATAACTTCAAGGATAGCAGGTAATAAGTGATTGTTTGATTTGTCATATATCGTGTTGTGTTTGTCATTCCATGTTGACTGTAATACTTTTCTAATCTGTTGTTAATACCTGAGTTATCTGCATTCTAATGCTTTAACTGTCTGTCCAGTGTTTCATTATTTGAGATTTTTTACAGAGAATAATTTCAGAAAGGAGGATAAGAAAAAATAGAGTAATGTACATAAATGTTGACTAGCAGTTGCATTACACAATATTTTATCAGTTTAACACTGTACATATTTCTGTATCTATTGTTAGGTTATTCACATCTGTTAGGCTTAAAAATAGCTTTGAAATGTTACACTGTTTGTTTTAAAATGTATGACCTAAACTATTAACAATGTTGCTTTCTTATTTCTTTTGCAAGTTGGATGTTTGTAAAGAAGATTTTAATAAGTAGATAAACATTAGTTTTAGTTTCTTTGAAATACCAGACCAAACTGACCAGTAGTCATTTGTGTTTTTATTGTACTTTTTCCTTTCATTGTAGTTCCTTAACATTTGATCAGTGTACATATAATTGCATTTCAGTTCCATTAAGATTATTTGTATATATAATTAATGGCATGATCCAAAATTTTTTTAGTTTTTCCTAACCATGCATATTTTTATAAATTACTTGATTTTTGTTTCTGCTATTGTACTGTACAGGTAGTGGAACATTTTAGATTTAAAAAGGCTTTATGTTATCTAAAACTATAAAATATCACTTTTGCAGTTATGTCCTTCCCAGCTGAAGGATTAGAATCAACGTACAGAAACCACATAGAGGATGTGCGAGGACTTCTTGACACTAGACATCGTAATCATTATTCAGTTTACAATGTGTCGGGTCGAACGTATACATCACTAAAGTTTGAATCCAAAGTAACAGAAGTGGGCTGGCCTGCGAAAAGAGCACCATTTTTTGCAACATTAGTTGGGTTGTGTAGAAACATGCACTGGTGGCTTCAACAGAATCCTAAGAATATTTGTGTTGTCCATTGTATTGTAAGTAATTACGTTACAGCATACTGATCATGTTTCTTTTCTATCTTTTACATCCCTGCTGAGTTTAAATTAACATCATGCTTGTTTAAAGAAACAAATGATACTCCATGATACTGATGTGATTGCTTGGATGTATGAGGAGACTTGGTTCAATTTAAAGAGAGGGAATTCGTAAAGATGCTCAATAACATTAGATCACTAAATAGTTTAGTGTTTTACACTGTGCTAGTACTTTAGTCTGAGAATTTTTCTCTGATTTTTATTTTATTTTCCATTAGTTTTGGACATTGTTTGTAGGTCTAGAAATGAGATAGTGGTAATTTCCCAAAATTCAAGCATAATTTTGTAACTTAAAGTTGCATAATTTTGTAACTTAAAGTTGCATAATTGTTTCTCTAAAGAAATCAAGTGCATCAAAGGTTAATAATATACTACTTTTCTTATCAGTATACTCTTCTTTATTTATTTGATATTTAAACTGTTGATTGATGGCATAAAAGAAATGTTAGTTTTTGCAGTCATATTGTTTGAATCCACAGAGATCCCACTCATAAAACTTGAACATGTTCAGTATTTCTACTTTGAATAATGTTAAATTGAATCTTTTGTAATTTGAAAATGCACATGACTAAATAATTGTTTGAGTTAGGAATGATGAAATAAATAATTTTAATAACTTACTCAACTAAGATTAATAAGTCATGATCTTTTTTACATGCTTTTTTACACAACATTTGTAGCTTGTGCATGGTTAGTGAAACTTGGAATGACTCCTTAAGTAATTTAACTAAAAAGAGAATTTTTTGTGCAGTAAGTACAGTAGTATGTGAAATTCAATAAATACTGAGTTTGAATAGATTTTGTTTTAGCTTCTGAAAACTGATTAGACATGGTCCTGTGGTTAGAATGCAGTACTATCAATCTGAGGGTCTTTGGTTTGCATTTTGTTGCCACAAGATCGTGAGCTTCATGTTTTGGGAATGTGGGAGCATTATACAAGTAATGATGAAATCCCAATATTTGATTAGAATAGCCTAACTGTGTACCACCTACTCTGTCAGTTCAAAATTAGGGATGGCTAGCACGGATAGATTTGTTGTAGCATTTCACAATTGTAAAAAATTTACAAAATTCCTTGTATCTGTGGTTGAATATACATTGGCCAAACATGTAGAATTTTAAAAGTTAGGATGGAGTAACATAAAAATGCCATAGAAAAATATAATTAATCAGACCACTATTAGCAGAACATGTGGTGGAAACATCTCATGTTTATAGATTGGAGTACACTAAGTTGGTAAAATAGGTAGAATTTAAAATTGAATTAAATATCAGAGAAACTGTTGAAAATGAAAAAACAAAGATATCATATTAAACAAGGAAGCTAGTCTAGAAATAATAAAGTACTGGACAGATGTTTTGTAACTGTGGGTAGTTTAAGTCTAGATGGTGCTACAGGAATCTAAATGACTATGTGGTTATACAAGTCCCAACCATACCTCAGCCGTTACTCTTGAAGATGGTGTCATAGAACACCGAAGTATATTTAGTCTTTTTTACAGCAAGTTCCTGTTTTAATAATTATTTATTGTGTCATGATTTTAACATTATAATCCTTTCAATTGTCTATATAGATGTTTTACACAAGTTTCGTTTTAAATTATTTTTTGAACTAAGTGAACTGTGATGAGGCAGATGTAGAAAGGTACAGACATTTTCGATTAGGATCATTAACTGTTGTTCTTTGGTTTTTGTTACTAGATCATGATTAAATGAACTTACGATAAGGTGGATGTAATTGACACAGACAGTCATAACAGAATTGATTAGTTTATTAGCTTCTGTTGCATTTATTTGTTTTCTTTTTTGTTGTTTTCATAATAAAATTATTTTACAGCCTAGTTTCAAAACACGCGTTGCACTTAAGAAAGAGTAAGAATTTTATGCATATTTATCATCCACTAATCTAAGCTGGAGAACTTCTATCACACATACTACTCCTGTATGGTTTAGAACATGAGTTAATACTGAAGGAAATGAAAACTTTATCAAACATCAAATTGTTGTCTTCTTTTACAATATAACTTCTGTTAACCCTATCGCCACAGGTATCCTTTACTGTGCATGACACAAGGTTTCAGTGTCTTACATTCAAAATTTATTAAACTACCTTTTGTTTATGTTATACCAATTATTATAGCATAAACTCTTAGCTGATAATCCATATTTTAATAGTATGTAAGTTTTAAGTTCTTAATTCTACAAGGCGATATTAAAAAAAATCCTGAATTTTTGCTAATGTGACACATTTTCTCTAGGCATCTTCTTTTTTTCTATTTTAGCTACCACCCATCCAGAAAATACAAAATTCAATGTAAATTACTCATTATAAAATGGTCATTGCTCATACAAACCATAATTTTTATAGCTTTCAATCTTGTTTGGTTACAGAGCTATCAAATAGAAAATCAGACCCCTCCTACTACATCCACGTGTCACATCCTCTCTTTCAGGATTTGTTAATAGTTCTCTCTTATGTTTCATTATATATATTGCCTATAACCGATAGAAAACCAAGGTTTTTTTATCTAGCAAAATGGTGTATTGTATAACATTGTGTTCTGAACAGATAATCATCAGTTTCACTCAAGAGTCCAAGCTCGTTCCCATGGGAAAGCTAATGACTACTTGGATGAATTTGTAATGACTCTTGTCACATAGTTAGAAAGCCAGAAAATTTTTGAGAGTGAGAGAAAATTGTCTACTTTTTGCATGTTATTAGTCGATGTTCTTTCGTGAATTATTTAATTAAATAAAAATTATTTAGTGTATTACTACCATTAGTATAAAAAAAGTAGGGTTAAGTGTCATCAACAGTTGACAGCAAGAAAAAAGAAGATTGGATAAGTACCTTATTTTTTGTTTTTCATATTTATTCTTTATTTATTATTATAAAAGAAACTAAAATGTAAAAATAGTGATCTTTTTAGGTTAGTTAAGATTAAATGAGGTAAAATAGATAATAATAATATAATAAAATGTTTCACGAGGCACACATGCGAGCAGCTTGTAGTTGCCCGTGGGTAATGTAATTCAATAGCATAATGTGAGCTACATGTTCCCCAAGTGACTTACAACTTATAATGGTGTAGATAGTAGTTAGACATGGTTCAAAGGGCAATAACATTTAATTATAAATAGATGTATACTGTTAAGAGTTCAAAGCTATTTAGGATAAACGAATGTAGTTGCATGCTACATTTGAAGTCATTCTAGAAAGAAAAAGAGGGTAGTTTAGATTTATTTCAAATTTTTGGCAGGGAGGTTATGAGGTCAGTCAAATTTACCAACCTTGAATAGAGTTAGGGTAAATAAAATAACATAAAATATAAAGTTTTACTGAAAACAAACATTTGAAATGTGTTTAGGAGGTTTTAGAGATTACACAAATGAAATTTGAGATGAAGAAAAGTATTTTAAATTTTAACATGAAAATCACTTTGCACATGGACTATTCAAAACAAATACTCAATATATTCATGAACAAATCTTTATTTTAGTTTATGAAAAATACTTCACTAAAAAAATAAGATTTTTTTGTATGTGAAAGACTGCCAAATTTTGTGAAGATGTATACACACTATATTGAAAGTTAGAAGTATTAAATCTATAAAGACTTTAAATGAGTAAAAAGAGGTCACGTGGTAGGTCAAATTGACCGAGTCTGTGTTGAGAGAGTTAACTGGTGTAATATCTTCAGAATCATTAAAACTTATTGTGTTTTATAATAATTGTTTTGTATTTTCCTTTCTTAAGGATGGAAAAGTATCTTCTGCTGTTCTTGTGTGTGCATTCCTGGTGATGTGTCATGCATTTCAGACTCCAGAAGAAGCACTTCAATTGTTTGCTGTGAGAAGATGTCCAGTGAGTCTTACATCATCTCAAGTAACGTAAGTACAGTTTACATTCTCTTAGTTTTGCTGTTGTTTTAGAATTGTATTTTGAAAGGGTTTGGTACATAAATTGGAATGTAAAGGAGTAATAGTGTTAAGATCCATGTGTTACTCATGGTTCCAGTGGTTAAATAAACCTCCCTAACATTTTTAGACATCACATGTTCCTAGTGTGAAAACTCTACATTTTTGGCAGAGTAATCCAGTATCAATTCATAATTGTGTTCATGGGGAATTCCAGTAGTAGTGTGCTTTGAAAAATATGTAAAATGTACACCAGCAAAGTAATTAAGTTATAATGTCATAATACATTTTCATGTATATTCTATAAAGTTATTAGCAATTGGACTGAAAAAAAATTATTTTATGAATTAAAAGAATTGTCAAAGCAAATGGCATTTAGTTAATGCTTTCTCAAACTGAAGACCCATATATAAGCACATGTTCTTACATGCTTTTATTGATTTCAAATATGTAAAGTTAAAATGCTGTACTTTAGAAAAAGTATTTACTGTAGTTAGAAACTTGTCAAGAAATTAAATTCAAATTAATGAAATGAAACTTGCAAGTGCCCTCATTTAAGCATGCATCAATAGAATCTGGTCCACAATAATTATTTCTTGAGAAAGTAAGATTCTAGTCCATTTTTTATCAATAATTATTTCCTGAGAAAGTAAGATTCTAGTCCATTTTTTTATCAGTAATTATTTCCTGAGAAAGTAAGATTCTAGTCCATTTTTTTATCAATAATTATTTCCTGAGAAAGTAAGATTCTAGTCCATTTTTTTATCAATGAGAAAGTAAGATATACTGAATCATTTTCAAATAGATAAGAAAGAGAACTTCTCTCATTAAAATCTCCAAGGCACTATCTTGCCGTGTTTTAAGTTTACATCAGCTGACTGATGTTAGCTTTTATATTAATACTCAGTATGTATTTTGTTTTAGATATATAGATTATGTAGCCCAGTTAGTTTCAACACACCCACAATGGCCTCATACAAGAAGGGTAAAGCTTTTGTCCATTGAAATGAAACCAGTTCCTCTCTTCACAAAGTTAAGGTTAGATATTTCATCTTTTCTGACATAAAAAACCAAAAATGTTGAGGAGCAAAGAAAGTGTTGTAAATTTGGTGTAATTGGTTGTTAAATTTTCTAAACATCTGCTTTTTTTTTCCTTCCAAAATAATAATATGAGTAGTTCAGTTTTAGTATTATTTAATTGTAGACATTTTACTTGATAGCTGCAACTCATTAATTTAAAATACACACCAAATCATGTGGATTTATGGTGTTTCAAGTGTTTGACATTAATTAAATACACACCCAATCATGTGGATTTATGGTGTTTCAAGTGTTTGAAATTAATGAAATACACACCAAATCATGTGGGTTTATGGTGTTTCAAGTGTTTGACATTAATTAAATACACACCCAATCATGTGGATTTATGGTGTTTCAAGTGTTTGAAATTAATTAAATACACACCAAATCATGTTGGTTTATGGTGTTTCAAGTGTTTGACATTAATTAAATACACACCCAATCATGTGGATTTATGGTGTTTCAAGTGTTTGAAATTAATTAAATACACACCAAATCATGTGGGTTTATGGTGTTTCAAGTGTTTGACATTAATTAAATACACACCAAATCATGTGGGTTTATGGTGTTTCAAGTGTTTGACATTAATTAAATACACACCAAATCATGTGGATTTATGGTGTTTCAAGTGTTTGACATTAATTAAATACACACCAAATCATGTGAATTTATGGTGTTTCAAGTGTTTGACATTAATTAAATACACACCAAATCATGTTGATTTATGGTGTTTCAAGTGTTTAACATTAAAAATAATAATAATAATGTATCAGGATATGAAGTAAGGATGACTGGGTTTGATATATGGCACATGCATTGTCATAAGTGAAAGAAAGCATATGTATCTATTAAATATTAAGATAAAACCAAAATCAACTATTACATGTGCTGTTTGCTCATTAAAAAAATTCTTCTATTAAAAGTTACTGAAAATGGAATTAGTCCTTTTCTTTATTACAGAGATGGTTGTCGTCCTTTTGCTGAGGTTTATCTAGGAGAAGAAAGATTAGTAACTACATCGCAGGAATATGAGAAGATACAGTAAGTCAGTTAAGGCTCACTAGTGTTGTGATTTAGGTTTTAACATTTACATTTTTTGAAATGATGTTTGATCAACAGTTACTGTTTAGCATATGAAAAATGCTTGAGTCTAAGTGATAGCTTAAAAAATTTCATTGTGTTAAAAAATTTGAGGTGGTAATAATATAAAAAAAGAAATTATTTAAAGCTTAACATGGAGTACAATAACGTGAAAAAATTGAGATCAACATATTACATTGTTGTTTTTAATACTTATTAAACTTCAGTTCATTATTTTTAGGCATTTCAACATGGCTGACCAACATGTTGTCATACCCTTGAATGTGTCAGTCATGGGAGACATAACAGTGATGATTCATCATGCGAGGTCTACCTTTGGAGGCAAAGTACAAGGAAAGGTTGGTGATCTGATTTCTGAAAAGGATATACTAGTAGCCAGTAAAGTGATTGGTTTCTGTTATTCATTTGTCAAATCATCTAGTTTCAAACTTGCATGACTTACAGTTGATAATATGAAATATATGACATAGCTTGGACAAAATATACTGAATTTTAGAAACAAAAAAGCTCTTATTGGTCTTAAGTAGTGCATCTATCTTGTTTTTGTTTTTTTTCTCAACATTAAAAGTTGTATATCCTGTTTTCATCATTTTTTAAATTAATTTTTAAGTATTATTGTAAATACCTCTAAATTAATTAAATACATTTCCCCAACCTGAGGTTTTAAAATATTCTGGAAATTACAAAAAGTTGATTTTTTTTAATATAATTATTTCGTTCAAATTTATAATATCATGCTAGAATAAAATAATTATCAGTTTCATGCTTTGTCAATTTTCTTTTTCTGATATTTATATAATTAAATATCATACATACTTATATCCCTCAAAAACCCATTCTTGAAGTGGAAGGAATTGTTTTTAATAGGTTACAGCTATCAAGATACTTCAGTTTCAACTCTTCACTGGTTTTGTTCAGCCAGATACAGAAGTTCTGACATTCACCAGGTACTGTTATGTCTAAGGCAAACATAGTGTATATCTTTAGAACACCTGATCACCAATCTTGTTATTGTGTTAGACAACATTATATTCATTTTGTGTGTTTACAAATAACACATGCTTATCTGTAGATGTAGTTTTCTAATAATACATTCAGAAATTTCTGTTGTTGGATAAATTACTTCTTTTTTTCATAGATTTAAGAGTATTACTTAACGAGACATATTGTCAAAAGTTCTTGTTTAAAGTTGTTTTTAAATAGTAGATTTTGTCATTACAGTAAAAAAAGAAATATGTTGCTTCATTATTTTTAAGGAAAGCCCTGAAAAATCTGTTGATTTTATGATCGAAGAGATGGATTGTTTTGTGTTAGTGTACAAAAGAAAAATAATAAGCACTAAATTAGTTTAAGCAAATATAAACAATTCTAACCTGTGATATAGAGAGACTTTAATTACAGGTAAAACATTGATTATATAAAAAAACTAACAGGTGTTAGAAAATCAAAGTAATGCTATAAAGAGACTATAATTACAGGTAACAACTTAGTGTTACAAAGAGACTATAATTACAGGTAAAACACTGATTATATAAAGAAACTAACAGTTGTTACAAAATCAACGTGCTGCTATAAAGAGACTAAAATTATAGGTAAAGAAGTACAACTTAGTGTTACAAAGAGACTATAATTACAGGTAACAACTTAGTGTTACAAAGAGACTATAATTTCAGGTAAAACACTGATTATATAAAGAAACTAACAGTTGTTACAAAATCAACGTGCTGCTATAAAGAGACTATAATTATAGGTAAAGAAGTACAACTTAGTGTTACAAAGAGACTATAATTACAGCTAAAGAAGTACAACTTAGTGTTACGAAGAGACTATAATTACAGGTAAAAATCAATTTGTTTTATGAAGAAAATGTAATTACTGGTAAAAAAAATAGAACTTTGGGTTACAAAGAGACCATGATTGCAAGTAAAAAAGTAAAGTTGATTAAGAAACTATAATTGCAAGTTGTAAAAATTCAGCTTTGTGATATATGGAGAAGAGTTCAAGAGGCTGTAATTTCTGTGAAATACTAAAGACTACTTAAAGTGTGAAACAAATTATTAAACTGAATGCGGGTAATGTTTGTTTTGATATAGATGCTGTATTTGAAGGTTAAAATGTGATTTTATGTCTAATGGTTGTTGCTCTATCTTGTGTGTTTTCTTAACCTTAAGACAGTCAAAATTATTAACAAATTATTTTCTCTACAAGTTATAAGAAAGAGAAACCCTCACCACTAGAATCTAAAACTGATTCAGGTTGAACAGAAGTACATGTGGATTAATATACTAATAAAACCCATGGAGATATGGAGCAGAATATAAATGTATCTAAACAAAGTTGTTCACTAAGTTGAAATGAGAAGTAAATTTATGCTAAAAATAATAAAGGAGATAAATTAGAAAAGAAGCTTGTTAAGTTTTTTGTGGAATATATTCAACTTCAAAGAGAAGAGAAGTTTGGTAACTTTTCATTGGAGTTTATTTAACTTCAAAGTGAAGTTCATTGTAGTATATTTAAATTCAAAGTGAAGTTTGGTAACCTTTCATTAGGGTATGTTGAATTTCAAAGTGAAGAGAAGTTTGGTAACTTATCAGTAAAGTATATTTAAATTCAAATTGAAGTTTGATAACCTTTCATTAGGGTATGTTTAAATTCAAAGTGAAGAGAAGTTTGGTAACCTTTCATCAGAGTATATTAACTTCAAAGTGAAGTTTGGTAACCTTTCATTAGGGTATGTTTAAATTCACAGTGAAGAGAAGTTTGGTAACTTATCAGTAAAGTATGTTTAACTTCAAAGTGAAGTTTGGTAACCTTTCATTGGAGTATATTTAAATTCAAAGTGAAGTTAGGTAACCTTTCATTAGGGTATGTTGAATTTCAAAGTGAAGTTTGGTAACCTTTCATTAGGGTATGTTGAATTTCAAAGTGAAGTTTGGTAACCTTTCATTGGAGTATATTTAAATTCAAAGTGAAGTTAGGTAACCTTTCATTAGGGTATGTTGAATTTCAAAGTGAAGTTTGGTAACCTTTCATTGGAGTATATTTAAATTCAAAGTGAAGTTAGGTAACCTTTCATTAGGGTATGTTGAATTTCAAAGTGAAGTTTGGTAACCTTTCATTGGAGTATATTTAAATTCAAAGTGAAGTTTGATAACCTTTCATTAGGGTATGTTGAATTTCAAAGTGAAGTTTGGTAACTTATCAGTAGAGTATCTTCAACTTTTAACACAATATATAGAATCCTTGCCTCTGACACAAACCCAAGACCTGTCTTACATCATGTGATTGCTCTACCAACTGAGATAAAGGGTTAACCCCTAGAGACACTATATAAAAAGACTGCAAGATATGGAAAAATGTTACAAGATATATTGTAGACAGTTAAAACACGTCTATAACAAAAATTTCTTTTATTAACTATGTTTCTGGCATATGCTCTTTGTCAGGCTTAGCTGTAAAAATTTACAAAACCTCTAACTGCTTTAACCCCTAGCACTTTCTGTTAAGCCACTTTATAACAACTCAAACTAATACATCATCAAACATCCATTGTTCGTGTAGATATACTGTTTGTTATGAACAAATGTTACAGTATCTTTTGTTTTTACAAAAAATATTAAATTCCACAAGGCAATTTAGTAATCATTCATATTTAAGAAGATTTTTTAAACCCTACATTTGATATTTCAATATTTTATACCAGGAATGACTATTGAATTGTATGCAAGATCTTGCTCATTTTTACATAGTTGATAGTCATATATATATATAAAATACTCTATTTCAGAAATTACTAAGATTGTGTGGAAGAACTGGCTCAATCTATTGATATACATGATGTTCAAGCTTCTAATATTGTATTTTAGAAATAATGTACATTATGTGGAAGAACTAATCTTGTTATTTTTACATTTGGTATTTACGTTTGTAATGTTGTATTTCAGAAAACACTTGGATTGTGTGGAAGAACTGGATCGTTATCCTGATGGGTTTACAGTAACACTTAGAGTTGAAGTTGAAAGTCAAGAACAACCTAGCCTTTCCAACAAACCTCCTCCTTGGGAGGGCTTGAACAAGCTTGACCTTTCACCCCGCATTCTGTTTTTTACAGAGGATGAAATGGAATCATGTTTAAGTAAGTGTCTTGATTGTTAAGTGACCATTAAGTTTTTTACAGAAGATGAAACAGAATCATGTTTAAGTAAGTGTCTTGATTGTTAAGCGACCATTGAGTTTTTACAGAGAATGAAATGTAATCATGTTTAAGTAAGTGTCTTGATTGTTAAGCGACTGTTGAGTTTTTTACAGAGAATGAAATGGAATCATGTTTAAATAAGTGTCTTGAATGTTTAGTGACTGTTGAGTTTTTTTACAGAGGATGAAATGGAATCATGTTTAAGTAAGTGTCTTGATTGTTAAGTAACTGTTGAAATTTTTTACAGAGGATGAAATGTAATCATGTTTAAGTAAGTGTCTTGATTGTCAAGCGACTGTTGAGTTTTTTTACAGAGGATGAAATGGAATCATGTTTAAGTAAATTTCTTGATTGTTAAGTGACTGTTGAGATTTTTTACAGAGGATGAAATGGAATCATGTTTAAATAAGTGTCTTGATTGTTAAACGACTTTTGAGCTTTTTTACAGAGGATGAAATGTAATCATGTTTAATTAAGTGTCTTGATGTTTACTTTTATCAGGTTATACACTTGTAAACAGGAGCCTACAGTTGCATATCCCATTTGGATTGGGTTTCTTTTATTTTAGTATGAATATATGAGATTATGAGATAGATGAGCTGTAGGTAAATTAAAATGAAGAATAAAATGAACCCACAAACGAATTATGTGTGTGTCTGTATATATACATATATATCATTCTGAATTTTACAGCTTGAACATTTATTGATATTGCTTTTACTGCTTGTTTTTGTGTGTAGCCCAGTTTACAAGTGTAGTAAACGAGAGTCAGCTACATGAAACTAATGATACTGTTGCTACGCCACCAGAAACCTTAACATCTGTTAGTCAGGAGAAGAATAATGGATTGACACAGGTTAGTGCCGAGAGTATGTCCACCAGGGTATTGGAGGGGGGGGGTCTGCCCCTGCCAAGCTGAGATGGCCTTTTAAGATTTTTAGTTTCTCTAAATTGTGACTGTCATAAAAGTATTAATCCCCCCACACACACAAAAAAGATTGAAATAAATGACAGTGAAACTTAGTACAGTATAAATATCTCTCTCTTTATGTACTATGATTGATTGACAGAATGTTAATATTTCAAGAGACATTTTAGGCCTTTGTTGTTTTTTCTGCCACGTACATTTTGATAAAATGTCATTAATGTTAAAGCTTAGTAATTGTGTTTATTTATGTCTATGGTTATTTGTTTTTTTTTGAGGAAAATAACAAATATGGGATGCATACATCTAGTACTGTAAAGGCTTACATTATTAAATTATATGTAGTTTTTCTTCTGATTCTAGAAAGATACGAACAAAACAGTAGATTTTAACCTTTCTACATCTGTTTTCTTTTAATTTTATTGCTTTATTAATGTACTTTGATACTGTGAAAAACAAGAAATGTTATGGTGGAGAGCTTTGGGTAAATAAACTATCGGGTTAAATCACGTGACATCCGATTGTATACATTCCTCAAGGAGTGATCATGAAAACGTTTTGTATTTAATTTTTTTCATTTAAGTTTTCTTTTCAAACCCAATAAGTCTTTAACGTTTACAATTTAGCTACATTTGTTGAATATATATATAACTATACATAAAAAGCAAGACATTTAGCACTTACTTTGACATAGGCCTATTTGTACTGAAGAACAGATTTCGATAAGACACCTTTATTTATACCATGTTGTCTTCAACAAAATAATTCATGTAGCTTTCAAATATGCATTTTAGAACATAAAATGTATATCAGACACTAGAATAAAATGTCCTAAAACTTCTATAATTTATATGGCTTTCTAACTAATAAATAATATTTTGTATTAATCCTTTTATTTCTCAACTAAACAAGTAAGTGTAAGTAATGATAGGAACAAGTCTGTTAATTTGTTTTTGAGTTAAGACACAGATGATAATAATTTCTTTAATATGAACCAGAATGTAGAATTTATTCTACATAAAGTTCTTGTATTGTTGTAATATTTGCACTCTGCTCTGTTCATTACAAACTGATGCCATCTGCAGAATCTGGTATTTTTAGAAATTAAAAATATCTTTTATTATGTTAGGCTGTTGTATTCGTGTCTAGACATCACTAAGGTCACTGTTTAACCTTTAGTAACTGAATATGTTTCTAATGAAGCTAATGCGTATACTAATAAAAGGGAAATAAAAAAGATATTTGTAATTAAAGAGTTGGGTATTTTGTTATGGAATTTTTTGTGGGTAACATTTCCTGTTTCAATTTATCAAAATTACCAATGTTTTTATCTTTGTGTTATGTTTTGCTATAGGATGAAATGAGTGACCATACGCTTACCCCATCCACTCCCCCTCCCAGTGGGAGGGAGGAAGAAACATTGAAAGATTTAAAAAGACCATCACCTGAAGATGTTGATCTTCTAAACCTTGGATCAAGTTCATCTGTAATAGATACAGATTTAGGTATAGGAGCATCAGAAGAGCAGAATGGACCATCTTTCAATCTTTTAGACATTTCAGTTGGAGAAAATAAACCTCAGCTGACCAATTTTGATTTATTAAACAATCCAGATGTTCCTTTAATCACAACATCTAGTTCAGGCTCTGGATTTGATGATTTATTTGATCCATTTAAAAGTGGATCTGTAAAGGGTCCTCCACCGGATACTGACCAGAGTACAACGTCTGATCCTTTTGTTGTGTTCAATGCAGACAGCGCAGGTGCTGCACTAAAGAATTCAAAAGGGCCTTCTGCTGATTTATTTGACCCTTTCGCTAGTAACACTGAAAGAAGTAATGATTTCAATAGTGGCAGTGTGGGAAGCTTGCCCTTGGTTTGTATTTTAAATGTGTGCAATTAATGTTTAGTGAGGAAACTACTGACTGATTAACTCAAAAATACAGTAACAACAACTTTTACATCAGGGAAATTCTGATTTTAAGGATTACAGTGTTTTGACCAGTAGTGTTGGGTCATCATCAGTTAACAATTAGATTCAATAAATCAGTTTGAAAAAGTTGCTGTAATTGTATTTTTGAATTTGTGTAATTAACTTGTAATATTTTTTTCCATGTAAATATGTTCATTAAACAGAAAATTTGAAATTAAGTCCGTAGCTTAAAAACAGAAATACAGAATTACAATTGCAATTTTTTAAGATAAGTAATGTTAAATTACATCATAAATATAAAAATAAAGAATAAAACGTGTAGTTTTACATTCTCGTATTAACAAGACGATACTCTATTTCTTGCTTTCTAACCCTATCACTGGCTTTTAGCAGTCTTATTATGTGATAAATAACTCTGAGACAAGACATTTGTAGCTTGTATTTTTAGATGTTTAGGTAAAAGCATTCTGAATACTCTATCACTTGAAGTTGTGAAGCCTAAAGTGGCAAGTTTTCAGCTGGTTTTTCCAGTTCAAACTGACCTTAGGAAAAATTATTTTCACTTTCAGTTGAGATAGGCTTGATATCAGTAACTCCACTTAAGAAGATATCTCATTATGATTTGTTTAATGCTTATAATACCATCACTTTCTATATGGATTTCAAGGAAATAGGTGGTGGTGGGGATTTTATATAAGTAAGTAGCCATGCAGGTAGCTCTGTTGTTAGCCTCTTCCACTAGCTAATGGAAGAGGAAGTTGGGTAGCATTTTAAACAACTATTTAATAATATATTTTTAATGGCTTTCTTAATTAAGTTCTTTTATACTATTTTGTTATTGTTTTTTTTTACTTTTCTTAGACTGCTCTGCACTTGAGGTGCACCTTTAAGGCCAGGATGATTAAAATATTTCATTTGGTTTATGGTTTGAAAAAAACATTATAATAATTCTTTGTCTACTTATGTCTTTCTATTGACCTGAACAGCATAAACCTAGTATTTCAACTAGTGCTTCAGCATGTAATCTTCGGCCCTCCGAAGGTCAGGATGCCTCTCTTCTGGGCAGCTGGGACTCTGTTTTTACACCACCCAGTCCAGCAGTACCTACGAGTCAGCGTCCCCCAAACGTCACTATGCCACGAAATGCTTCTACTCCCAATCTTGAAGCACTAAAAGAAACTACTGATCCTTTTGCTGATCTTGGTAAACACATACAAACTTTTCTCCTTTTTTTTAATACTAAGGAAGTTAACTTTCATTCATTAAGTAGAAAAAAAAAATTAAAGTGCAGGGATAATCGTCATTTTGTAGTTATTACTTGTAATCTTCTTGTCAGGTGGGTTTTAATTATATTAAACCTTAATGTCCCATCGTGGGTCAGTAGTAAGTTTACGGACTTACAAAGGTGAAATCTGGGATTTGATTTGCCATCGTAAACAGAGCGCAGATACCCTATTGTAGGGCTTTCTGCTGAAGTAAGAACAAACAAACCTTATAATTTTTGTTTAAAATAAGAAACTATAAAATTCAACACTTTTATAAATCAACTATAACCTTTGCTGCAAGGCAGATGGATTGCATTCAGAAATAGATAGTGTGATCTATTATTAATGCTCTGTACTCTTAAGTTTACTGTTTTCATACAAATATTTTACATCTGTTGATTTAGGGAATCTTACAGCCACTTTTGGACAGGCCACACAACAAAACTTTGGCACTTGGCAGCAATGGACCACTACATCTAACCTCTCTACTAATGCCAGTCCTCAACATATGTCACACCCCCAGTCGTATGGAAGTAGTGGTCCCAGTGCATTTACACAAACAGCAGGGTTGAGCTCCCAGCAGCCTAAGCCATGTGCTGGAGCTGCTGCATCTTCACAGAAAGTTGATTACAGCCGCAACAACTTTGCAAGCGTGTTTGGAGAAAGGGACGAAAGGGGAGCAAAAAAGGGTTTTGGTAATTTAAAACTTTTTTTAACATATTAAAAAAATGATTGGTGCTGAATCATTGTGAAACAAATTATTTTAAGAATTTATAAAACTTGAAAATCACTTTCACTATTCATATTAATTAGAGCTAAAAGAATATTAAATAGGTAAAGTATAAATTGGAAAACATTGTTCAAACTAAGAGTTTAACCCTTTCTCTAATAGGTAAGTCAATGTGCTTATCTCTATGACAATATAATACCATGTCTTTACCTCTTTTGCTCTTTGATTTGTATATTATTTAACTCTTTCTGGTTTGTTAAAATATTTTTTACAGTTTTATTAAAGAAAATTACTTCACAATAAATGACTAGAAGATATGCATCTCAGTGATATGGATAACTGTTACTTGATTGTCCATTATGTATTACTTTATTCTGAACAATAACTGAAACGTTTAGTTTAGGTGTGTTTTGTTCATTTCTATGTATATTAAGTGTGGAGAACCACAACTTACAGGTTTGTGACATGTTAAAGGACTTGAGTCTTGTTTGTTCTTTGATCCAGTACATCACAACCTACAGGTTCGTGACATGTTAACCCTACCACCACGTGTCACAGGCCATGTCATTGCTTTTGTTGACTTACATTCAAAATGTTATTGAACTACTATTTTATGGATTTATGTCAATAATTTTGGTATCAAATTGTATATTATAATCCAGATTTTAGTATTATACATTACTTAAATTTTTAATTTAAAAGAACACACCTAAATCTCGTTTTTGTGTGTAATGTACTATGTTGAATGCAGCATTGGTTCAAATTTTATGTTTGTTATGTCCAAATACAAAGTCTGTAGTTTCATACAAATTAGGAACTCAAAATACTGATATTGACAAGCTAGAATATAAAATAAGAACCTCCTGTCTTTTCTATTTGCTGTGATATTGCTTCATGTACTAAATTAAACACAATGGCCCCGACCACCTGTTTCTATAATTTTTGAAACGCTCGGTTACGTAAACCTACTTTTGTCTATGATGTGTAAATAACCAATCAAAAGCTCAGAATATCCCTCATGTGGTTCTCTGAGCCTTTGCAAAGTACTTGCATGGGAAATCCTTTCTTTTCACTCTGGATTCGAAGTGGGTAAGTTGACACTTTAGTGAGCTCAAAATTTCTTATATTTTTTTTAGACTCAAATACAGCTTAGTTACTAAGTTTGATAAATTATAGTGGAATTCTAGATATTGATAAGAGTAATTTATGATTTTTGGTTATTTCAAATGTGTGTGTGTATATATATATATATATATATATAAACCTAAAAAAAAATTATTTCTTTTCACATCCTTCACGTGCAATATTTGATAAGGCTTGGCAACCTACGGCAAGCAGCAGATGAGTACAAAATTCGTAACTAGAAGAGATAATTGTTTGCTATACTTCTTTATTTACTGTTCTATGTTTTAAGAAAAATAAGTTTTAGAACTTATTTGTAAATAGTAATAATGTATATACATATATTGTGTATAATAATTGAAATGTGACTGTATTTTACAAAATACTAGTCTACTAAAACACAGCCAAGACAGGCCACTTTGTATAGACTAAAGGTCAGTTTTATATTATTGGATACGGTAACATGAGTGCGCGTGCACCTTGTCATTGTAACTTCTGTATTATTAGTGAGGCAAGGCTGAAAGATCAATATAATAAAAGTAATAAATAAATGTTATGAGATTGAAGCTATTTAGACTAAACGTTTGTGTTTTCATATTATAACTTATAGTCATATTAGAATGAAAAAAGCAAAATTTATATTTATTTCTAATTTTTTTTATGGTGGTTATGAGGTTGATCAAATTGATGGACCCCCATATAGTTAGGGTAAAGAAAATAACAGACAAAATATAAAGTTTTACTGAAAACAAATGTTTGAAATGTATTTAGGAGGTTTTAGAGATTACAAAAAATAATACTTGAGATTTTTGGGATGAAGAATAGATTTTAATCATGACATATAAATCACTTCGCACTCAGACTAGTAATAATGAAACAGACTCGATATTTTCATAAACAAATCTTTAGTTAAAATGTTTCATTAAAAAAATCTGATTTTTTATGTTCAAAAGACTTAGAATCATTACTAAAAGTCTACCAAATTTTGTGAACATACTGCATTAAAAGTTATGATATAAATGTGTATATGAACTCGTGTATTTTATACCAAGTCCGTCACAAAAGGGTTAAAGGACTTGAGTCTTGTTTGTTCTTTGATCTAGTATACCACAACCTAAAGGTTCATCACATGTTAAAGGACTTGAGTCTTGTTTGTTTTTTGGTCCAGTACACCACAACCTAAAGGTTTGTAACATGTTAAAGGACTTGAATCTTGTTTGTTCTTTGGTCCAGTACACCACAACTTATAGGTTTACAACATGTTGTAGAACTTGAGTCTTGTTTGTTCTTTGATCCAATACACCACAACCTAAAGGTTCGTGACATGTTAAAGGACTTGTTTGTTCTTCCAGTATTGTTAAGGGGCTTTATATTATTTTTCAATCAATTTTTTCATCACAAATAGTATTTGTAGTTTCTGAATTTGATTCAGGATATACAGTGGAAATGGTTCTCATTTAGTTGGAATGTGGTGTTGTTAAGTTTTCTTGCTCTTTTTATGTTATCAAATTGTTTTTTTAACTAAAATTGATGCTATTACAGCTATAAAAACAATAGGCCTAAAACCAGCTTTTGGCATTTAAACCTTAGCTATAACAATATTTTGTATGTGAGCATCCATATAAAACCTTGATTATTTTGTACTGCAGAATGTGTTTTTTTCACACAATAAGCTATATATTGAATGAAATAAATTGAGCTAATACGTTTTTTTTTTCTTCATTATTATTTAATCAGGTCCAAAGCCTTTAGTTAATGAAGATGAGTTTGAGGACCTATTAGGATCACAAGGATTTTCAGGATTTGGCAGAAAAGATGTTGGACCAAAGACAATAGCTGATATGAGAAGAGAGGTTCTAGCTAAAGATATGGATCCTGAGAAACTTAAGGTTTGAAGTTTGTTTTTTTTAGTAGATAAGGCTAATTGAGATTATTAATAAATTTTATATATCATTGAAGTTTTTTTTTATAAAAAAAAAATGATTTGTCTGATAAGTTATTATGGCTTCATGATCAAAATTGTTTTGTACATTTTGTCAAATTCTGATCAAGCTCTTTTTTTTTAGATTTAAAAAGTAAATTAATACTAACCACATCATATAGTTCTAAGTTATTACATCTTGAAAAAATGTTAACTTTGGTTGATTCTTTGTTTTTTAATGATAAAAACACAGTTTCTTTTCAACTGATATTTTGTCTTCTTGCCCCCCACTGGCACAGCTATAAGTCTGTGGCTTTTAATGCTAAAATTCAGGTTTTGATACCCATGGAAGGCACAGCACAGATGGCCCATTATGTAACTTTGGGTCACATATTACTAGTGGCTTCAAAGAGTTAATTAAACATAGCATAGTTACCCATAAAACTATTAGACACCTGGGTTAAGTAAAAAAAGAATAGTGGTTGGCACTATGGTATGAATTATTAATACAATCTTCTATGCTTTATAAGAAAAAGTTGTATTTCAATTAGAACAAAAAAAAATTGCTTATAAAATGGTTTACTCCACAGCTTCAGAAAACTTGTAATTTAACACTTCCTGGTTTAGTCAAAATAGATTGCTTTGACACACTGTAGGTAGAGTGTTATGACTCATTTCAGGAAGAATATCATGACTTATTCCAGGTAAGAGTGTCATGATTCATTCCAGGTAGAGTGCCATAACTCACCCATGGCAGAATGTCATGACTCACTCCATGTAGTGTTATTACTCACTCCAGGTATTGTCATGACTCAACCAAGCTAAAGTATCATGACTCACTTGTCATCAGAAATATTAATTATTGAAAATTGTAATTGTTTATTAAATAATGGGTTTGTAAGACTACTAAAAATGTGAGTTTATGTTCTTCAAAAGATTTTAGACTGGACACAGAGAAAAGAACGGAATATTCGGGCTCTTCTGTGCTCACTCCACACAGTATTATGGGAAGGTACTCGCTGGCAGGAAGTGGGAATGTACCAACTACTGACAACAGCAGATGTGAAGAAGTTTTATTATAAAGCATGTTTAGCAGTACATCCAGATAAAGTAAGAACTTAGTTTCATCTCCAAAAAAAAAAAATTAAGATACAGAATACATTTCTTTTTCCTTAGGAAAACCGAAATTAAGTTATCTCTAACAATATCTTAAAATGAAGTATAACTTATTAAACACTATTAATGTCAAATGATTATTTCTTTATGTTAACTAGTAAAGAATAGAATTATAAAAATTCATTGTATTACTTATGGGTTAGTACATTCAAAAGAAATAAAATATTTACTGGTAAGTTAAAGAATGTTTAATTTTAAATATAGAACTATTTAATACCTACTTGAAAAAATACCATATGGTCTTAATCTTATGTTTCTGCTAATGAAATCCTCTCATTATGTATTCATATACAAACATTTGGTTTTCTTTACTCATAGATTTTAATAAAGTTTCTGCTGTCATAAAAGAAAAGATTTAGTTGAAAGAAGAAACTAGAAGAGTTTTAAGATTATTAAATAAAAAAAAGCATAGTGAGTAATACTTTTAAGTTTACAAACTAGAAGAGTATGGTGAGTAATGTTGTAAGATTACTGAATAGGAGAGTATATTGATTAATGTTTTAAGATTACAAGTATAGAATAATTTTTTCCAACCCTGTTTTGTATTGTAAGTTATTAGTTGAATTAAATAGTTATTCAAATCAACTATGAATAAGTCATTCTACTAAACATAAAATGGGTGTTTTGACCCTAAAATTGGTCTTTATATTTTTTCATTATTTCTACTATAGCAAGTAGGCACAGAGAATGAATCACTTGCTAAACTCATCTTTGTGGAGCTAAATGATGCATGGAGTGAATTTGAGAAGCAGCCCCAATGAAGTTCATTCTAGTCCAGACAGATAGAATAATTGTTTTGGAACTTTTGAAATA